CCCCCGGGTCAGCCAGCAGGGCACTGGGAGAGGCAGCGGCCTAAGGAATTGGTGGGGACCAGCCTGCCCCGTGTTTCTGAAAGGGGGAGCCCCCCAGAAATGCCGTCGCCCTGTCCCCCGCCCTGGGGCCGTTGGAGGAAGAGGGAAGGCAGCACATTGGCAAGGCCCAGGCTGTGGGGCCCAGCCTGCCCAGTGTTTCTGAAAGGGGGAGCCCCCCAGAAATGCCGTCGCCCTGTCCCCCGCCCTGGGGCCGTTGGAGGAAGAGGGAAGGCAGCACATTGGCAAGGCCCAGGCTGCACTTGGCCTGTGCCGCTCCCTGCCACCAGGTTTCACCAAGGCTCAGACGCTGGAGGTGAAAAGACAAAGTCCGGGCGGTCACGGGGTGAGAGAATCCCAGACCCCTGGGACAGAAAAGCCTTTCCCCATGCAACCCCTCGGCCTAGGGCCATCCCTGGCCACCACGGGCCTTTGGCCATGGCCGCTGGTGCTGGCCACGCTCTGCACTGGGGCGATACCTTGCCATAGCAGACCAGCCCCGTGGCTCCCGTGTGAGGACTGGAAGAAGGACTCTGTTTGCCAGATGGGAGCATCCTCCTCCCTTGGCGGCAGGGCCGGCGCTGCAGATGCTCCGGGTTTGGGCTGGACGAGGCCACGTGCACCATGTCCTAGCAGCGCCACTGCGTCCCTGCCTGCTGCTGAATGAACGGCCAAGAACTGCAGAGCCCCTTGGCGAGAGCCCGAGAGGCTCCCAGCTGTCTTCTGAGGAGGCATTTGCAGAGCCAGGGGCTTGATCCTGGCATGGGGGAGGGCCTGGCTCTTGTTTTCATGTCCAGGCCCCGGAGCTCCCAGTGGAGCTGATGAGGAGCACGGCTATTGCTCCGCACACTGGGACCGGCGCTGGGTTCTCTGTCCACGGGGCGTTACTTGTGATGGCCATTGGCCAATGGTGCTGTCAGGCCTGGCCCGACCACGCATCCCGAAACCCCTCCCTTTTGCAGCATGTTGGTTGCAGGGCTGGGGTGATCCCTTCCGTCGGGGAGCACGGCCCAGGGCCAACTACCCCGCCGGGGGGCCGGGCGGTGGGCACGCTGAACCTGGGCAAGGTGGGAGCAGGGCAACTCCAGCTGCAGGGTGCTAGCCGGCACCCCATGGGCTCCCAGGGACGTCCCCTACTAATTAACTTGGCTGGCTGATAAGGGGCTGGGCTTTCTTTGGAGTCTGGCTCAGAGACCTGCCAAAGAGATAAGCCAGAAAAGCTCATTTCCTCTGACTGGGCGGCTGAGACTGTTCTGCTGTGGATTAGGGAAGGTGTGGCTGGCGGGTTGCAAGCACCGAGCTCCCTCACTCTAGCTGATTTCCTGGGCTCCGCAGGGTGCTAAGGGAAGACAATGCCCTGAGTCCGACACCAAAGTGC